TAGCAGCCGCCTTGTTCTTCTCCGCTTGCTGCTGCAGCAGCCTCTGCTGATGTTTCAGGTACGAGGTAGTGATGGGAAGACTGTAGTCGATGGGCGTGTTCTTGGGATCGAGTCCAGGGCTCCACGGCCTTGGCAACGGTTGGCTGGGTTGAGGAGACGGCGTTCGACCCTCTGGCAGCATCCTTTTCCTCTTGGACGAGGCTGAACTTCTCGAGCTCGCCCGGTCCGACTCCGGGGTCCTCCTCGAATCGGGCAGGCTGTCCGCGCTTGGCAAAAAGCTGCCGGCTACCGGCTCTTTCTTCAGCAAATTTGTGATACTCAAAGGATTGTACTTCTCCTCCTTCTCCTTATCGGCTTTCTCCTGCGTCGACGACGTGCTGGTCGTTGTCGACGACGACGAGGTCGTCGTTGTCGTCGCTGTCGTCGACGACGTCGAAACGGCGTTGCTGTTGCTGCTCCCCTTTTGATGCCTTTGGTGTCTGTAACTGTACAGAGGCTTGCCCTCGCCGCTGTGATTTCCCTCGCGCAACTTAGAACTACTTTGCACCGACGTCGTTGACGCGGTGGTGAGAGTGTTGGGGCTTAATGGCGTCGCCGTCGACGTTAGCGTGCTCGTCGTCAACGGCGTCGCCGACGTCGGCTGCGGTTGATTGGATAGATTCGTGGGGCTCGGGGTGCGCGGCCGTCGTTGGCATTCCGTGCAGCCCAAAAGAAATCGCGTTACCGCCTCCCGGGGAAGGAACGCGTACGTTTCCGTGATCTGAAACAGAAAGAAAAGGTCTCCGCGTCAGAGAGGAGATTCGGTGGAATAAAGGAAAGAAGGATCATCGTCGGGGGAGGCATGATGTTGTTTGGCTTGAGCCTCCGGCTACCAGGAATGCTAGATGTTTCTATTTCGTACGTGATAAACAAAACTAGACCTGAATCTGTGTAATTTTTTAACATTCATGTGTATGTTAAAAATGTTTAAAAATGTTTAAAATGTACGTCTATTAGAGAACGGTAAATAGATTTCTACTTCTAATTAGCTAAGCCTAATTTAGGGTTTCTTATATCGGAGATTTTCGATCAGACAGTTGAGGATCGTGTACAGAAGGATAGAAATTTCATCGGTACGGACCAGTGCCATTTGACGCTCGATTTTTAGTCGACAAGTACATTCGCCATGCCAAAGTCTTTTGGCAATCTTTGCCAAGTCTCGTGTTTCTCATGTACCAAACTCTACCGATGATAGATTCACCTAGGCGAGATTTGAAAGGGCACGGGGCCTGCACTCGCGCGGCGTGAGTGACCCCTTTCGTTTCGCTTCGTCAAACGTCAGCGGCGTCACGTGGAGCTGTTTCACGCGGAACGCCCACCAGGGAAAATTCATGAGCAGTAACGGAACTTTGATGTCTTTGCGAGAAGGTATTTAGCCGGAGG